TCTTCTTGAAGTAAACATCCCTTTTGTGTGAGAGACCAAATTTGAAAATTATCAACAATATCTAATTCATACTTGATCAGGAAAATGTTTTTAAGGTACCATTGTGTCGTCTTTGCATGAAGGCTCACTTATAATTATGCTTTTTTATGCATTTTTTCATTCGAAACTTTTTGTTCTGAATAGTTCAGACATTTTTTTAAAGTGTTTTCAGATCTAAAGAGATAAGGTACATAGACATGTTCTAAAATATTAAATGTCAGAAAAAAAAGTGAAGCATGTCTAAAGGATGATGGATTGGATGGATCTAGGTTGATTTATATTTTCAATTTACATAAAACATCATATATATTTAATATTCAACCTCCAAGGTATACAATCAATCTCAAGAAGTAAAGGAATCGATTCTTTTCCACAATCTCAAATTCTTTAATCCCCATATCTTTGCAACTTGGTGTTAACTTTGGGTTGTAAAGTTAAAGAAATTATAAAAGAGGAGTTTGCTGCTAACACTCACTCATATGGTGATGATTTACATTATAAGGGTTTCTCAAACCTGTAACTATCTAGGTGCAACTCACTTTACTATCAATGTCAAACCGGACACGATCTATCTTTACCAGGATGTCGATGTCTCAACTCGGACACAATCTCTAAACTCTCTGAACTATCAATACCTCAATTTGGACATGATTTTTTAAACTATCAATGTCTGAACTCGGAAATAATCTTGTAAACTGTCAATGCCTCAACTATGACACGACCTTGAGCTATCAATGCCTCAACTCGGACACGATCTTGAGCAATTAATGCCTCAACTCGGATATAATCTCGTAAACTATCAATGCCTCAACTAGGACACGATCTCGAGCTATCACTGCCTCAACTCCGACACGATCTGTAAACTATCAATTACAAACCAATGGGAACGATCTCGCGAGCTATCGATGTCCACACGAACACTAGCTTGTAACTGTCAATGCCAAACCTATGGACATGATCACTCAACTCATTTGTTAAAACAAAGAACACTTACTCTTTCGCAGTAATCAATACGGAGTCTGTATATCAACTAGTGTGTATTTAGATAGCTATGTTACAGATCAATAATATACGTATTTACAAGATTAGCGCAGATATATATAAATTGAATAAATGTTGAAAAAAAAGTTTCAACAAGTCGGTGGTTGTGAGGGTAGTTTGAAATAAAAAACAAATTCCCCACTACCCTCACTACCACCGACTTGTTGAAACTTTTTTTTCAACATTTATACAAGAATTTGTTAGAGATGGTGCTTTGTGCTCATTATCTCAAGACCTCTAAATTTATACCTGTCTGCATATTTATATATATATTATCGTTGAGTTAATCACAGTATACAGGTTTTGACGTATTTACAGACGTAGCTAGGCTAGGTTAATCATGCATTACAAGTTTTGCGTAGTTAATGATAAGCACATTTAGATTTACAGACAATGTACAACGTATCTATCTAGATATCTTGTCGGGTTAACAAATATGTAATATATAACGTAATATATCTAGGTATGTTCAGGTTAACAAGTATGGGGATTGTTGTATTTATTACACAATATCATATTTATGGCCTAAGTCTAAACATAAAGAATAAAATCTGTCGTATATATCTAGTTCTAGAAATGAGAAACAAACAGTTCTATTTCCTTACCCTCTACCCTTACCCCCTTCCCTTACCCCCTTCCCTTACCCCCTTCCCTTACCCTCTACCCNCCCTACACCCTACACCCTACACCCTACACCCTACACCCTACACCCTACACCCTTACCCTCTTCCTTTACCCCCTTCCCTTACCCTCTTCACTTACCCCCTACTCCTTTCATCCCTCCTCAAAACTCTAATTCACAAATTTTCTAAACTTATATCTTTGCAACCCAATGTCGAAGATCAATTTATCTTAGTAAGAAATATCAATGTAAGTGACTTACCATCAGGTTGCGAAAGTAAAAGAAAACTTTAACGTAAAGCGAAATTTAAAGCGACACTTCAACAAAGATTACAATGCACGATTCACAACAATACCCGTGAAACCATTATCGGATCAATAAATTAAAAATATGGTAGTTTTTTCTAGTTTTAAAATGTTTAATTCTATATGTTTTTCTGCATTAGAAATGGTCAAGAACCCGCAATTTTAAAAAAATTAGTTTACAAATCTTTGCGAATTACAATCTTTTCATGAAGGACTTTTTAAAATGCGCTTACAGTGCCTTTGAGGCGAGTAAATACAATTCTTTTCATAACAAAAATATTCCTTTTTTCACATCAGATGAAATGTATAAAGCAAATAATATATTATCATTATATTCCTCCGAATCAGACTTAGAGGTTTGGGTCACTTTTATCCCCTCCCATTCCTCCCCTCCTCCCATCCCCCCCTCTTCACCCTCCCCCAAATGTTGATAAAAAAGTTTCAACAAGTCGGTGGTAGTGAGGGTAGTGGGGAATTGAAAAAAAAAATCTTGAATAAATGTTGATAAAAAAGTTTTAACAAGTCGGTGGTAGTGAGGGTAGTTAAAATTTAAAAAAAATTCTTGAAAAAAATGTTGAAATATTGATTTTAAAGACGGAGGTATTCTTGAATAAATGTTGATAAAAAAGTTTTAACAAGTCGGATGGTAGTGAGGGTAGTTAAAATTAAAAAAAAATCTTGAAAAAAAAGTTGATATATAGATTCTTAAAAAGTCGGAGGTAGCGAGGGTAGTGGGGAACTGAAAGATATGTTCTTGAATAAATGTTGATAAAAAAGTTTCAACAAGTCGGTGGTAGTGAGGGTAGTATGTTTATCTCTGTATTTACTGATCATCAATCGTGTTCTGTAATATACCAAATGCATGAGGCAGGACGGCTTGGGAGAAATGAATGGGAAGAAATTCTCTCTTTTCTGCTCTATAACATAAACTTGTAATCACATATATGTGAAAGAAACAAAAAAAGTACACAGCAGGGGTACAACTATACAAATAGTTTAGCCCTATCCCTCTGTTGAGCTCTTTTTGTCTAATGTAGAAGGGCCTTAGAGTTGAGAGTTGAGATACATTTTTGAAAAACCCTTGAGTTTTACTTCAATAACCTGCAAAACAAATTGAAAATTTTAAAGAAAAGTAGATTTATCGCGTAATCTAAAAAAATCAACAAAAAAATTGTAAATATTTAAAAAGTTTGCATTCAAGAAAAAGTGGAAATGTTCAAATTTCCTGGAGAGGCGTCTGTGCAAAAAGCTATGGTAAAATTAATTAGCCATCAGGCAGTATGCCTGAGTACATAGGCAGAAGATGTTTGCCTAAAGTTTGGGGCATGTGTTGGTTAGAAAAGTAAAAAAATGATCTGCCCCAGATCAATACTTTTTGAGTGAACATTAGCCCGTAGGAACTGTTAAACGTACGTGTTATTTTGATAAAAATAGATATAATTCTAATATACAGAGTAAAAAACTGCAAATTGAATTTCAAGCCAGAATTAGATTCTATTGGATTTTTCAAGCCATAATACAATTCCTTCTTTTAAATATTTCTCTGCTTAAGGATTTCCAATGATTTAAAAAAATCCTTAGTTTATTAATTTACCTAGAATTTTGATCAAGTCTGGGATCATCATTAAAATGCTATATATCCGCGGAGACCCCAGATTTTCTCTGACCCCCCCCCCCCCCCCCCCCCCGATTTTACACCATACTCCTACTTCTCCCTGTTGAACTCAACGTCTCTATTCTCCCTTCCCTTTCCTTCCCTACCCTATCCTTTCCCTACCCATCCCTACTCTCCCCTACCCTATATGTTTCGCAAAAACAGACTTACCTACCCTCCCCCATCCTTCCCTAACCTCCCTAGAGATATGGTGAATATTGTATATTTAATAATCCAAATCAAACCTGACTCTATCTATACAATATGTCCGGTCTTCTATTGTTCATCATCAAACAAATATTTATATTTTATACACAGAAGTAAATCTGGTATGCTATTCATAAACTGGGGTTTGCTACGCTGTCCGGATACAGGGTTCCACAAAGGTTGAGACTTTTATGCCGACCAACAGCTCCTAAACATTAAAATCCAACGTTATGTTGTTAACAAATGAGCTGACTAATTTTATCCAAAAAGATGCAAGATCTCAGCTTCAGGAAAAAGTGAATATAAAAACGAATTAATTCTGAACAGTAGAATCTGAACTCTTGTGGGTTGGTAACCCTGTGGATTTATTTATTTCTTCCTCTGACGATTGTGTTTAGTTTGTTTTCTGTAGGTTTATGCGTTATATATATTAAACGTTACAATTTATTGTAAAACATCAACTGTACATCTGGAGAAAGTAAAAACAAATCACAATAAATCGTTGCTACTTTTTTCTTTAAGAATTCTTATATAAAGTTTGAATGATTTGTTGAGAAAAAGTACTTCTGTCTATTTATATATTGATATTAAAGTTAGCATCACAAAAAAAATGTTTGAGGAGAAAAAGATAAAAGACCTTCAAAAAGAGAGGCATTGGGAATATTTCCCTCAATTCTTAAAAAAATGTCAAATATTTGTTTTTAAAATTTTGAGTTAATGGGTAGTAGATTGTTAGTCTTTTTCGACGACAAAAATAAATCTTAAAATTTTTAAAATGTGTGTATTCGTCTATTGAATTTTTGCTGCAAACCAATGTCATCTAGATGCAAAGATATAGGGTTTAAAAAATTAGATTGGGTCAAAAACTCAGTTCCTTTTTTATCTAGAAAACAAACAGTGGGATGATTGTTGTCTTTAGTTTTTCATTTAATTGTAAAATGTTACTAGAGATTTTATTATTTGGCAAAGTTAAATAGTTTCAAAGTAAATGCACTCCACTGTTTTTAATGAAATTTTGAATTACAAAAAAGTTTGAATAGTATTTTTAAAAGTAGAAAAACGAAGAAAAATCCTTTAATGATATAAAAACTAACACAAATCTGTTTTTCATCTTGGATTTCCTTATTTTTAGAAATGGTTGATTCCTGGCAAGGTTTACTGTTTCGGATGGATACTGTAGGTTCTTATCTAAAGGATGGAAGAAGATGCCAACATATACTTCTAGGCTGCCAGGTAATCCATCAATATGGAATAATCGGTTCAGATACAGATACAGATTCAGATACAGATACAGATACAGATACAGATACAGATACAGATACAGATACAGATACAGATACAGATACAGATACAGATACAGATACAGATATAGATACAGATACAGATACAGATAAAAATACAGATTCAGATATCTGTTTGGTTCTAAATGGATTGAGCTGTATAAACATATTCCTTTATGTATGTATAGAAAGTTATACATCCATCAAGCTGATATCTGTGAGTTTTCTATCCTATGGTTTAGAACTAGTGTATGCTACTATAGTCTGATAAAAAGGAAATACTTGTCCCCATAAAGGAAGGGGGGTCTGTAACTGTATAGCTAGGAGGGGAAGCGCAATCTCCCCACCCATAGAAAAAAGGCCTTCGAGTAAAGGTTGCCGGCCATGCATAATTATTGTTTATAAACTCCTGACTTTATCAGTGCAGATGCTTTAGGAAGGTTTTAAAAAGTTTTGTCTAAAAAAAGGGTCGGTAAAACGTAAATTTGATTTTTGATAAATGACAATATGTGACACAGGGTTAAAAATCCATTGATGGTCCCTTTTCTAGTATCAATTTTAGCTGTTAACAGTTGCTCTTCAATCTTCAATAATTCGTAAAGCGTATTTTGCAGAAATTGTTCTGTCTAAATTTTCGCATTTTTTTCTGGCAATTCATCCTTAACCATCCATACACCTTCCCTGAGGTCATATATGCCTTGTTTATTGGATACAAACATATCGACATGCAAGCCAAATGTATTGACTCAATTGAGTTTTTGCCATAAACTCTGTATTAAATTCTATAAATTCCTATATCTTTGCAACCCAATATGGTAGATCTTAGGTATTTCAAACTATAAATTATTTTTGATCAAATAATCTAATTTTGAAGTACCAAATTCAACAGGTGCAAAGATATAAGACGTATAAATTTGAGTTTGTGGCAAAGACTCAATTCCTTTATAAAATAAATTCTGAAAAGCTCATAAATGTACAATCATGAATTGAAGTAATATAAGGTAGCATAAGGTGAATATGAATAATAAATACAATTTCATGAATATTATTCATGAATAACTATTCTAAACTGCAAATTCTCTTCTATACAGTCCTGATGCATATCTCTTTATCAATGAAAGATTTAGAAATTCTCAAGAAGCTTTTACTATATTCGTCTGCTTTCAAAATGGAAGAAAAAAATAAGAGGAAAAATTAACCGAGATAAAATGAAAACAATGATGGAAATTAACATTGGCAGCGAACTTGATTGTATATTGAGATGCCAGAACACCAATTTCCGTTGGGCATATATTTTTGTATTCTCTCCTCCCACCCTCCAGGGCTAGAGTACATTATAAAAATGGATAATCATCGTTTCTCTCCGTCTAATCTTAATGTAATGAAGCCAACCTCAACAAAGCTTTCGGTGCGTTCGGCAGCAAACTCCAGTACACTGACCGAAGAATGGAGAGTGGAATGTAATATATTTGTTTATTGAGAGGAAAACATGATGGAGACTCAGATCAGGCTGTATGAATAGATTCAACTGAGGGGCCAAGAACAATTGTAAAATTTGAAAAACTAAAATATGCTAACTAAGTATACACTATTATTTTGGTTCGCAGTGCTAAAATTTTGTTAGACGGAAGTTTTCTTTTTATCGAGAGGGCTCAAGCCTTTTTAGAATATATTTTGTCCCAAGCAATTTAGCGAGAAATTTCGAGGGACACGGTGCTATAGATATACAGCTAATTTAATTTATAGCACGGTGCTATAAATATACAGCTAATTTAATTTATAGCACAGTGCTATAAATATACAGCTCATTTTATTTATAGCACGTCAAAAATAAAATCTACCATGAAGTGAGTATGAATGCTAAAGTTACACAAGAGTGTCATAAAAAATAAATCCCATCCTCTTCTCTTATACATTTTTTCCAAAAGCTTTTATCTTATTAATTCAAGTTATCTAGTTCCTTTCATGTGATGAGAATTGTTTTTTTTCTTGCTGACTAGTGTTTTTGATGAATTCTTAAAGAAATGATTAAACAATATCTTAATTAGGATTCTAAAAAAATGTTTTACTTGAATATAAACTAAATTTTTAACGAAGAGGAGGCAGTTTATACAATAAAGGGACTGCAGTTAACTTTTATATCCAATAATCTTTCTTCTAAAAGAGCTTTTTTAGTATTTAAAGCATGTACTTCATATTTAGAATATGACCAGATACTAAAACCCCTCAACAATTTGTCTGAATCTAAACTGAGTAGAGAATCTGGCGAATAGGAACAATACACTCCAGGATCTTATACAGGGTAGACGTTAGAGCTTAGCTCCGTTTATCCAACTAAGGCCTGGGGACTTGTACTTCATGGACAGCTCTCAGAATGATATATCTTACCAGAGCTGAAAACTTTTGAATGGAATATCCTTTATCCCGATCGGTTAATTAATCTGGAGATTAATAACAAGAGGAGAACAAAGCTACTTGATGAAGACAGCTCTCCGTTACCTTGTTGTAGAAGCAGCAGAACCAGATGATTCTGAGAACGGAATCACCGCTCATTGTGGAACAGCTCTTCACAGACCTGTTGTGGAACCACAAGCGGAACTAGAGGATTCTGTGAACGGAGACGCCACTCATTGTGGAACAGCTCTTCACAGATCCATAGTAGAAACAGTTGAGGAACAAGAGATCTTCATTTTTCCTTTACAGCCCCTTTGATTAAACTAATTGTGAATCCAATTAAAAGTTTCAGATGGGATTTTTTTTAAAAGCCTTACACTTATCCTTTTTCTTAAGCACTAATATAATAATACAATAAGTTTACCAATCAAATAATGATTTCATTAAACTGTTATATTTATGAACAAGAAATAAGATTTTATGACTTTATTTTTTTAGATTCTTATTAATTTAACAATCAACGAATTCTTTGAAATTAACATTTTTGTTTTCATTGTTTTAAGACGGATCTTTTGGCACTCTATCGAGACACCAATGAGGAAAATACAACATAGTCTATATATCTGAGGTTTACACCCTCAGGTTTCAAAGATAAAGGGATTAAAAATAAAATTTTTGCAAAAGTTGAGTTCCTTTAATGTGTTTTTAACAATTTAAGGACAAAACAAATATGAATGTGTTTGTAATCGTAAAAGCACATAATACATCCGAAGCCATTGTTTTCGCATCATTTATTTCAGAGATATGTTTCCTAACGAGAATATATATATATTATCCTATCCATGGACTTAGGAAACTAGATTAAAATAATATGCATTATAATCCATTAACTAAGGAAATTAGATTAATTACATCCATCATAATCAATAGAAACTAGATTAAATACACTCATCATCATCAATGGAAACTAGATTAAATACACTCATCATCATCAATGGAAACTAGATTAAATACATCCATCATCATCAATGGAAACTAGATTAAATACATCCATCATCATCAATGGAAACTAGATTAAATACACTCATCATCATCAATGGAAACTAGACTAAATACATCCATCATCATCAATGGAAACTAGATTAAATACATCTATCATCATCAATGGAAACTAGATCAAATACATTCATCATCATCAATGGAAACTAGATTAAATACATTCATCATCATCAATGGAAACTAGATTAAATAAATAATAAATTTTCCCCCCTGGCCGCCCTCCCCCCTGTATACGCCCTTGCAATGTTCTCAATTGCTTGTGTTATCTGTTTTCATCAATACTATGATATCTGTTAAAAAAAAATTAGGGAACTTAAATAAATGTACATAACCTAAGGTAACTACAACACAAGGCTTTAGCCACCCACCTGTCCTTTCTTATGATTGCTCCTTGGCCTGAAACCTATCCTTGGTTTTATTTCTCCATGATGTACCCAACCATGCATAGTTTATTACAGAGATGATATGTATTGGGTGTATTATGATGGTGTAAGGAAGGGGGGGGGAGGCATGATGGTAAACGTATAAAATCTATACCCAACTCTATCCATGATTAGTAAAAGCAGGGATTTAGCCGCAACAACACTTTGCCAGGGAAAAGATAAACAGAAAGTTTTAAAAGCACAAAAGCTGAACACAAAAGAAAACAATGAAAACTTTTCTTTTGTCACGCCTGCCAGTTTCTCTTCACGTATTGTCATCTCTCTAGAAACCACCCTTCTCTCTTTCAATGTAAGGGGATAGGGTGTGTGTACATAATCTTACTGTGACGTGTTATGTACTGTTAGGAACTAGTTTTAACAAAAATTTCAAACAAAAAGATAATATATATATAGATACGCTGGCAGGTAGAAACCTCCTTCCTAAATTGCTTGTAGCAGACAACTAATTTTTGTCCCTCTGAGATAATGTGCAAGGAGAGACATCTATAGCAAATTGATTACTTTCTTTAATCCTTTCTCCCCCTGCTGCCATCTGTAGGAAATACGCATTTGTGTTATATAAACATACAGTAAGCGTATTGCATCCTGTATAGTTCAAGTGTTGCTATCTGGACCTGTTTGACCAATAAAATTAGATTTCTAGGTAACACAAACATACAGTACGCGTTTTGTTTATGTTATGATCAGATCAGTTGTACTTTGTCCTAGATTCGATGTACTTTTAAAGTAATAATTTTTATTTAAATTGCGTTAATTTACGTATTCCATTCAGTACAACTTGCACATTTTAACTTTGCTAGTCAAATTCCTACCTCAGTTTTATTTGCATTGATTAACTTGTTTCATTAAGTACAATATGCAGTATACATTGTTGATACTATAGTACGCATTTAGTGTTATCACGCATAAACAAAGTGATAAATTAGCAACAATCCAGAGGATAAAATGCCATGCGTACGACAGAGATGGTGCTGTTTGCACCTTTTCTCAAGACCTCAAAATTTATACCTGCCAGCGTATCTATATATATATTATCTTTGATTTTTTC